CTTGAACTTAGAACCTGAGAGTATTCGGAATTTCAGAAGAAAAATGGAAATGAAATGGAAAAAAATATTACTCATATAATAATTTACAATAAATTCAAATACGTTTCTGAATGAATAACATCTACTACATGCAGAACAAGATTCCAATCTATTTTTCATTCTCTCAATAAACTCCACCACACATATTAACTGCTTGAGAGTCGTTACCATAAAATTCATTACACTATGGATGTTTTACAAAAACCGCCAGAATGTCGAATAACTCAACAATCTCGCTTGAGCTATACCCATCGTATAGCGAAATACGTGTCGCGGTTTTTGTAGAGCCCTAATATTGAAAACTCTGCAATGAATTATGTGTGTGATTGATAATATGGATTTCCATCAAGTATCGGCTAGTTATTTCTGATATTTATTGTTTGTCACATCCTTATGCAAAAAATTTCTTGTCTTGAAAGATCCAGTACCCCACATTCGCATGAAATATGACAAACTGCCTCTACTTTTTTGTTGCATCAATTGCATCTTCGTTGTTCAAATGTTCTCTCAATGGACATTGTACACTGAGTAGCAAAGCAAAGATTTTTCAGTTTGTAATCCCAGATGTTTCTTATGTAAATCTTTGACCTGGTCACATACTAATGATTTTGGTACCCCCACAGATTATGTCCGTTATATGGCATTAATGATATGTGTTTAGGACACTCATCAGCTTATTTATTTTTCGTGATTCAGGCAGTATCTCCAATTTCAAATGTTATTCCCAAATTTCGTTAGACTCTTCCAGGCATGTATCTCTGAGCCTGCATTGCTGAAGCCATACAGTATCAGTGAGCTATATGAGTATGTAAATTAATTGAATCTCCAAATCTACAGGACCTCTAGTTCTAATATTTTTCCGGAATCATGTGTTAGAACTTAACCGTATTCGATTTTGAATTATGTATTGTCACCTTGAATTCCATCGAGAAAATCTAGTAGAGTGTAACACAAACTTGGGTCTGTTCAACATCTTTGCATGAACTTGATGAGTCTCTCATCCACCCCAGATCTTCATTACATCGGATCACTTGACTAGCTATGAGACAATTGTCGTTTTACGTAGATGAGAGCTTCCTGTGATTGGTCTTTGTGAACTCTTGGATTTTTTGATCCCTTATTCCAACTCTTAGATGTTAAAAAGTTTTCAGAGCGACGTCTAAATTGGTAGCAGACTCTCCTCGATAGGAAGACTCAACAGATTGTCTCTGGTCTGGATTCCTGGCCAAACTCGCCAGGAAGACAATGAGGCTGCTGAATCCCTTGCAAAGGAGGATGCTGCCAGTAACTTCATCGGAACAGAACCTGCCATTGGCATCGCTTTAGGCTTTGCCAAACGACGATTGAACACCTGGATGACAAGAAGATTCATGGACTTCTGGCAGAATCTTCAAGGATGGGCTCACTCCAAGGCGTATATTCACCCTCCGAAGCTTGATACCAAACAGTTATTGGGCTACAGTAGGGATGAACTACGATGTCTAGCAGGCCTTTTTCCAGGTCACTGTCATTTGAATAATCATATGCAGAGACTCTGTTTGGAAAATGATGAAACAACAGACCACATACTTTGTACCTGCCCCGCTGGGGACCAAATTAGAGTTTTAGAGTTCGGCAGAGCCGTACTCTTACCATCTGACCTGGTTGAGTGTGAATGGGTGTAAGCCACAATTAACCCTCGTGAGTTGCGATATAGTGGGTCGAATAGTCCCACTCACTTTGGACCTAACGTAACCAACCCTATTCGTTTTCCAGGGGCTTCAAAAAGATTCGTTCGAAGTATGAGACCAACCGATGGTGATGATTCAAAAAATGTTCCCGTCAGGCGTATTCTGAGATAAAAAGATAACAATTCAGTTGAATTCGATATATATCATTTCTGTAACAAAACAGTAACACTTGAATTATGCTAGAAATATTGTTCACGAAGTAGTGAATTCGTATAACATTTGTTAACTTACAAAGATGACTCAATTTCATCATTTCATCATAACTTAGGATATATATAGTACTTACATGCACTTTGTCAGCATTCCAGTTCAAAGTAAGTTCTTCAATACCTTCTGTTAGATCGAAACCTGGTTTGGTGAAGTTGACTTCACCAGTCCATGAGGTGCTGGCTAAGGTGACACTGTGAGAAATGAATTTGATATAAATTTGAAGATTTATATGTGATAATTGAAAAACTCGATAGAAATATCTACATGTCTTCATGTACCACTTATGAACATGAATAGTGATACATATATTCTCTATTGAATTTCGAATTTTGGTCGTATAATTTCTGAGCATGGAATTTACCGTCATATACCATTTTATGTCTCTGAAATTTTGTTTGAAAGCAGAACCTTCCACCGTTGTTAAGTACGAAATATTTGTTTAATTATAGCTCATTGTAGTTATTGACAAACACTTTTTGGTCGTACCATCCGTCAGATGATCAATATCCCAATAAAAAATAGGAAAAACAGTTATAATAACAAGCAAAAACTCATAAATATGTCTAATAATGACATATAATTATTCAATCCGTATGAAAAACAATCACAAGCACAAATTTATGAAGTGAGTTGGACCCATCGCATTGGTATGGTTACTAACAACAGATTTCAGGATAGTTCATGTAACTAGGTAACATAAAAAATTCAGGTTTGACATATCGAAAACAGAAGTCCAGACCATTCAGCAATAAACCTATATTCACTAATTGAGAACGAATTGTTATTTCAGATAATTGATGGAACTCAACAGCTATTTTCTACAGGCTTATATATTTTTTCATTATTTTAGTCAATTATTTCCTAAACAATCACCGTATAACACATACCACATAAAAAATAGATATAACCCAGTAAAATATAATATATAAATGAGAGAATCCACATGAATCAGAGATACTGATTTGAAATCAACTATAAAGAAACAGAACCAAAATAGATACGTAGCTAGTTTGCGTATCATCTGGAAATCATATGGAAAGTTACATACATAGCAACACTTCCTTAATATCGATTCGATATGAAAATATTTCAGGAAGCATTCCGCAATATGGGATAAAAGCAAATTAGCCGAATACTGCTGGCAAAACTCTACCTATGGAACTTTCCATGAAGGCTTCCTCGCTCACGAGAATGCGGAACAACCCCTACATAAAATAATCATGATCCTATCAATGCTCACATTCGATAAACAGAACTTCTGAAACTATTACCTTCACTCAAGGATGTAATCAGAGCATTTCCGAAAAATTTGCCGCAAAGGGTAAAATTCCTTTTCTCGAAAATATTAAACATTCTGTTCCAGAATGCTTCTTTCGCGGCAACAGCTGGCTTAGCTGTTGTTTCCTTTCGGGTATTTGCCATGCGTACCAAAAAAATATATATGATAAGAAGTTATTGGACTAGCACTCATAGGAAAGAGGCAAACCGCAGACTCGTGTTTCTGGCTATTTAGCCTTCGTCAGTACGGTACAACCAAGTGTAAAGGATAGACAACACTTGAGTTGAAAACAAACAAGAGGATTCACCATTAGGGGCCAACTGCGGTTTCGTGTCATCATCGGAAGACCTTGTGATTACAAGGACTAACTCCCAACTTTGTCACGGGTGCAGCTGTAGCAACCTGCATGACATCCGGATCCAGGATAAATCAACAAGAATGATGTAAAAATACTATAACTTACTTCAAATATCCGGCAACCTTTCCAGGAATCAACGCCACATTTGTTTCAAGACTGTACTCTGAAAGAAACTCGAATTTTGGCCACCAGAGTGTGTATTGGAGGACTGCATTTGAGTCACTGTCTTTANAAAAAATTATTAACAAAAATGAAAGATAAAAATGAAAATTAAAAGATTCCGAACCAAGTTACGTCACGACGTTTCGATTGTTAGTATCTGTTGATTATTTGATTAGTTTTGAGTTATTTATTTATTTTCTTTATCTTATTACCGTTGAATTATTGTTGTTATGGTGTAAATTTGACATTGTCAATAAAATAATTGTCCTGACGAAAAGTGGATATTTTATTGGCACGAAAGTTTGATACGAAATAACATTGGTGACCCCGACGTGATCGCGAAATGGAGGAAGAACAAAAATTGAGCCAAAGACGCACCGCTGGTTTGAATAGAAGCCTATCAACGGATTATATTTTGCCACAAAGATTCGGTATTCCGCTCAGATTTGGTATAACAACAGCAGTAATTAATCCCCTCATAAGTAGGAAGTAAACACCAAAAGTTTAAGTGCAGATACAGAAAAGTGTATGGCAAAAATTACTGTAAACTATATCATCAGTTGATACATAAAGACCTACCTTCTAGAAATCCGGAAGTTAACGTCAACGAATCGTCAATGGAAAATAATTCTAAAATAGTTTGTGCAATGGAGAATATATCAAACACCAAAATTTTATTGAGGAAAATTCGAGTCAAATTAAATTATGTGGACCGAATGGACATTTGTCAGTTTTGGCATTATGTGATGAAGCATCCACGGTAACGCTGTTAGACCAGGAGATAGCTGATAAATTAGAACTTTCTGGTTTATCAGAATCACTTTGCCTTCAGTGGGCAAATGAAAATCATTCGATACAGCAAAATTCAATGAGAC